AAGCCTGGGGTTCTGGTGAACCTCCCACAATGCATCAATAACTTCTCTTCCTCTCTTTTTGCATTACATGCTGCTTTTACAAGTTAATATTTTTTCCAGTATTTTTCCTTGTCTTTGTTCTTTTCTTTTTGATATTCTTTTTGCACTTGATTGAGTAGTGGAGCAGTGATGAAGTCTGCTGCACCCTAACATGAGACATATGGTCACCTGGTCACACACCATGGTAAATTTGCACCCTGATATTTCAAATTAATATGCAAACCAAGTGACTTCCTGTGACACAGTTATAAAGGAGTCACTTAAAGTGAAACAGTGATCAGAAGGTCATACAGTCAGCTTCAATCAAAAAACATGTTTCCCCATTGCTGTTGGCAGCTGGATGCCGCAAGTCACTGTAAATTTGTAAACTGTAAATGTGCAGCTTTTCTTTTAAAATAAAATTCAATCATTTGTCCTGCTTTATATCCACCTTTTTACAGATGTAACATGTGCAGAGTTGACACAGCCAGCCTCTGAGACTGTGCAGCCAGGCCACAGTAACACAAACCATCAACGAACCTGGACAAAAACCCCTCACAGTCTGTTTTAATAAAAAGCTTCCAGAACTGGAGCTCTCAGACCACTATCCTGTTCACTTCCACTTTCAGCTGACAAGTTGGCTTTTAGCATATGTATTTAGTATAGGTATTGTTGTATTGTAAGTTTTATTATTTGAAAAATTACAATTTTCCATTTTTCCCTGATTTTTACTTTAAAAGAGTGGTATTCAGTTTTAGGTACTGAGGTTCTCAGTCTGAATCAGTGGTTAAAACGTCTAGAGACTCCCACAGACTGACCTGTACATACTCAGGGTTTAGTGGTAATATTAGTGCTGCTTGGATCAGACAGCCTGCCTGAATAATCTTGCTAGACATGTACTGCAGTCATGAACTGGTTGTGTGGAGGCAGATGAGGACCCAAACGCAAAACTCACGGAGACAAAAAGCTGAACTCAAAATCACTGCTTTATTGCAGGCTTCACAAAGAAACAGAACTAAACTGGGAATGCTAACTGAGGACCGAGGGAACACAGAAAGGCACACAGGTTCGAGAGGAGACATTGACGACACGACACCGAACTGAGGGACACATGCACATAAATACACAGAGGGTTAAC